GTAATTGGTATATCGTTTAGTTGCAGTGAAGCAGAGATCATTACAATCATATGCTTGTAGTTAGCCATAGCCAGAATGGCGAGTCATTTCGCTGTCAATATGAACCGATGGGAAATCGTATTACTTGAATGTTTCAATTTCATGTGTTGATTGTTAGTTATTTAGAACGCTCTTGTAACTGCTAGCATCCTGTTATGAATACTGATAAATGTATAAATGCCCTCGTGAAGTATCAGTGTAGATGCGTCAATTTTAAGCGTACGAAAATTGGTTTGAATCGCTTACATCGCGGACTATCCCCAGACTGACAATTGATCCACGAGAGCGAGAAAAAGTTTTCGCATATCTGCAGTACATTAAGGTAAGGATTACTTGAACTTTTTCACTCGTGTTAAAAGTATTGCACGGTTTGGCAATCACTTACATTTGCATTGTTTAGTTATGAGCTGTTACTTTAATGTGCTCATTAACCAGCATCTGACTGCTTTTCTTTCGCATTCGAGTCGTGCTCATGACTGTTTTTACATGTTTATAAACTTGATGCGCTCGCGATATATCTTTTAGTTAATTTGAGGGTTAGAGAAGTAATCGTAACCAAATAACGAGCCTTAACATGCAAAGAAGTTTTTGTTGAATGATTGAACTTGATGTATATTTGAGTATATAGTTTCGTCACATCGCGTCATTGTGGCTACTTTCTTTCATTTGTGAGCATTCTGCAGGAGCTGGTATTTATTATCCCGTTTTAAGGTACTCTATCGCTCACAGCAACTCTGCGCTCATTTGCCATGCGATATGGCTCAAAGTTACTTGCTTGATGAACTTGACAAGTTACCTAAAAATGAAGAAATTAGTGCAATTTTTGCCAGTGAGTTTATTGTTTTTCGCTCGTCAATTTCGATGATAATGAAGGAGTTTTAAAGTTCAACTCGAACGACAATATTGTGACCGTTACGATCCGTTTTACAGGTTCCAATTTGCGTATGCGGCTTGATGGACAACAATACAGAAATGCCCTTTACGAAAAATTATTGAAGTTTGTTTTTTTCCTCCATTCCGCTTCGCTTCTTCTCGAAGCGACTGATGATAAACTTATTCGATGGCACAATTTCTATGATAAGTTTGTCGAAGACATGGCTCTTGGTTTCAGCCATTCGGCTAAAATCTATCCATAATTCATTCCACTTTACCCAAGAAATTTATGCCATTATATTTCAACGTTCCGCAGTGATGAAGTTCCTTTTCTGTTTTCGGAATTTTCGATTACATTTGTAAATGGATTGTCATTTTATAAAGTTGAAAACGCGATAGAAAGTGGATTACATGTGTTCGAATGTAAAGCATATTAGAGATAACTGAAAATTTTCATTTTAAGTGTAATTCGGGACGAGTTTCATAATAAGCCTGATGGTCGTGTGATTGTATTCGTACGAACTCGTGAGTTTGCATGCCGTTTGAGTAGGGCGTTCGATTCGGATCAGGTTCTCAGCGGTTTGAATGTCCGGACTAAAATGATTACGGGTTTGTTCCATTTTCTGTGCTCATCAATTTTGTTTCTATTTCATTCACATTCCACTCGTTTTGTTTTCATCTGTTTTTAACAATTTACCAATTTGCATTTACGACCTTTATATTATATCTTCATCTAATCACATGTTGCGTATTTATGGTTGAATATGCTCATTGTCAACTGTTTTAATATCACATCTCTGACCAGTGATTTCTTCCTGTCCGATTTTGTTCGAAATTCTCCTGAGAGTGTGTAATGTTTTCATCATTTACGAGAGTCTCCTTCAGCCCATACGCAAACTTTCGCTAGCCATGTGCAGTGCAGAGATGCAGATCATCTCAGCACTTCTGGTTAATCAGCAGCATTCTAAAGCTGCCCACTAACGACAAACCACTT